GTAGTTTTGCCCTAGGTTTGAGACGATGAATGAATCGGTAAATGCGCGCATCGCCGGATGTAAATTGACGACTTCCGCTTGAATGATTTTTCTCTTTACTGATGAGCCATAAAATAAACAACTTAATAACCTCGACCATTCGGTCGTTACGGGAAAATCTCAAACCTCAGCCTACCATATTGACCGAGCGATAGCGAGGTCAATACGGCAAGGCCTCAGTTTGAGATTTTCCCGTAACGACCTCACTCTCGGTTATTAAGTAGTTATTAATTTATGCATGTATTTTGGCGACTAAAATTTTTCACTGGCGACCAAACCTGAACAGTCAGTGGCTAAACGGCCACTAAGGAAAAAAGTTAACTTGGAGGGTTGTGTAGAGAGGTTTGACTGTAGTTAGACAGGCCCAAACCACTAGCAGTATACACTGTAGGGCCTTGTAACACTCTGAGTTAGTTTTTCCCTAGAAGGACTCCCAAGGTCACACATTCTGATTAGCTGGGAATGGGTCATCTTCAATCGGCCACTTAATGAAGGTAACAAAAGATGTAGGTTTTAAAATTTCTGACCATATCTGGAAGCCTGGCTTTCAATGGCAAAGAAGTGGAGGTGAGGGTGGAATGTGTGAAAGGAGGGGTCAGTTGGATGTAAAGCTTAAGGGGAATGAAATAGTTCAATACCTATCCTTGTAACATTTCCAAATGCAAACAGTCATGATCAAGAAAGTAGAATGTCCATTTCAAAGATGAACTACACTTGCTAACCATACATTTTCAATAGAGGTTTTGAATTGAACACAAATCCCGTGGTTTGTACTTTGCCGAAATCAATTCCAATCAAGAGGGAAACAATACATATGTATCACAGAGCCAGAACAAAAGTTTGGTCAGGATGTTTAAAATGTGATAAAAGTAAACAGAAATGAAAAAGCCAGTAGCGGTGAACGGAAGTTTGGGATGTGTAACATGTGACATAAGCTATGTACATCCAGAATGGTTTTAATTCAAAGGAAGAGTGTTCACAAAACAAAGGGAAATCGATGTGAGTTTGTACAGCAACAAATGCAATGTTTGAAGTGCTGTAAGCTTATCATGGTTTTATGGGTGGGTGGCAATACCTTGCTGACAGAAAATGCCAATATAAGAGACCACATGTAATTAAAAAAGCATATAGTTTTCGACAGACAACCATCTGTAATTACATCAAGTGGCTGGAGAAAGATGACCCATATTGAGCCAATAAGAATAGATGACATTGAAACCCATTCCACAGGGAAAAGATGTAGCAACTCAGAACTTAAGACGGCCTCACTGGTCTGGATTGGTCTAATACCTTTTAGTATTTACATACTAACAACCATCTCTGATGTTTAAATGTTAAATGAATGTACCTACTTGAAAGCAGTAGCAGTATTTGTTGTTGTCGAATGCTGTATCATCTACAAACTCCACAGCCTTCACTGAGCTTAAAGGAATGGTCCCTTTGCATCTTCCCCGTTTCTGACAGGAGATATCGGAACATGAAGTTTTGTTATAATTTTTTACACTTTCTTTCTTACTGAGATGCCTAAACACCATGTGATACAAAAGTTCCTTACTTAACAGTAACATGTATTAGTTTGTATGTTTCATATGGTGATACCAAGAGTTCAACATAGAAATGTGCCAATTTCAGTTTGAAGAATGTTAGTAAGAGGAAAATGACTAGACAGTATAAGGTGGCATGTAACCCTTGCTCTCAAAATTGTGAGGTTCCTATGCCTATGGGAAATTCCAAGTGGGAGGCTGGGTCTCAAAAGCCAAATGTTTTACAGGAAAGTTTGAGCTGGCATTTCTGGAGGGATGGGAGGTTCAAACCAAAAAACTCTCTATGGAAGGGGTATGGATGTTTTCGGGAAAAACGTAACCCAAGGCCTGTGACAACTCATGCCAATATAAAAGAGTACTCGTGAGAATATGTATTTTAATTTACAGCTCTTTGTAGTGATTATTAAAACAAGTCTGTTTTTGTGTATATGATATTTGTTTTTATTGCTTTAAGTTCCTTAACTCTATTGTGTCTTAAAAGAAGCAAAATTTCATAATGAAGCCTTTTAGAAAGGAGATTGAATTGTTTCAAAGTCTAGCTTTCCCTTCATTAAGTTCAGAAGCCCATAAATTCTTGCTGGTCTTGAACTTGTGAAATTTGCTTCTCCGGTGACACACAAGAGTTCATTGATTCGCCAACAGGTTATACAATCATTTCATAGCACATTCTCAAACTGGACACAAAATCATAGTGTCTGGACCCTGGCTAGCAGAGGTCTTTTTCTTGCATGAAACAAGATGCTTTGGGTCACCCAGAGGCAGACACTACAAGTGGCAAAATTGTAAAAAAAATATCTGAACCCGCTCAGAGTGCCATGATTTACAATTCTTATTGAACTTTGATCTTGTTTAGCCAAGGATATGTTCCGTTGCACAAAGGACTTTTACCATTGGTGGTAAATGACCCTTTTACCATTGGAGAAGGCATTTAGTGACTGTAAACGACATTTCCCAAGATAAATTTCCAGGGGTAAATATAACAGATATGTCAAAAAGATTACATGAAGCCCCCATGAAATTTACCAAGGTAAGTTGCCAAAGTGTTTTAATACCCAAGGTACAAGGGCCAATCACCATGCTCCACGTGACATCAACATGTAACTGCAAAGGAAAAGTTCATTTCCTTTGTAGGCTTCACTTGTGCTGTCGCCAGAATCAACAACTTTGACACCATAGATATGGCAGGATTTTGGCAATGATGCGAGTATCTTGTGTCTTTCAGATGGCCTCTCAGCCAGTTCACTAGACTGGTTATTTTAACAATGGCTAAAATCAAAAATGTTCTCATCCTTTGCAGAAATTTGAATATGCATACTGAACTGCTGTTAAATGATTGTATTTTTCATTAAAGGAGAAGGTCACTCCAAAACCGTGTATTTTTTTTCCATCACCAATAAAAAGTTCACATTGAGTTGAGTTGCTCACCGTTTTTTAGCTTCTGAAGTGGATGCAATCCCAGTGAAAAAGAAGTGAAAAGTTCAACACTGGGAGCTGCCATTTTGAAAGGATCCTGAAGGCCAGGCCACATATCGGTGATGTCATTCCGTCCGTGAGTGTGTTTGTTCTTTTGAGCTTCAGTATGGCTGCTCTTGAAGCCAGAATGTGCTAGTGATTCCGCGGGAGATAATAATCAAGTTGAATTGAATGATTAGTTAGAAAATGCTCTGTGGTGTACTTGTGAGAGATGTGCAACCATACCGACGCAAAGAGAATGTGTCTGTTGCCGAGAACAGCCGGAGTAGGTCACCAAGATGGAAGGTACATTTTGCGGTATAATTGCAATGGACGCAGTTAGTGGTTTATTTCTAATTGTAAATTGCTCTCAGAATTGAACTGATGGCTTAAATAAATCTCCAGTTTAGTTCTTTTGATCTGATTTGTCTTCATTTTTATGTTACTGGTGGTTCAATGCGGAGGGAGTTCTGGTATCACAGAAACTGACGAGTTTTCAATGGGGTGTTTAAATTGGGCAGATGCTTTCCACCTCACAAGTCTGTGTTTTTACTTGTAAGATTTGGAATCTTTTTGCTTGTGTTCGTACGTGTTTGCCTAGGTTGCTTTACACTTATGGACTACATGGACTCTTGTGAAATACACAGTGACTTTACATGTAAGATGCAAAGTGAAATCAATGTCTCTGACGTGAAATGTGAAATTGACGACATTCCTTATCAGTACCTAAGATTTTTTGCGAGAATTGTAATTTGTATTGTTGTAAAGCTAAGCATATGCAATAAATTTTGATAGAAGAAAAAAGTATATACAACTTTTACATGCATAAACCAGCAGAAGGAAAATAATGTCTCTGCAAGTGTGTTTTTCGTATCGCATATGTCGTGTTTACTGGTATTGTTACTTGACAAAGCATGCAGTAAGATTACAGCTTCATTTTTTACCGTAGCACTGCTTTCATTAGCAACTGTAATTCCCAAAAATAATGTGAATGA